TAGCAGACAATGCAATCCATTCACCATCCCATCGTCATAGTCAAATCATTACCAATAATAATTTTATTCCACCAGTCACTACGGTATCACCACCTAGTATACCATCTTATAAGAAATGGAATTTTTTAAGAAGTCGATCATCCACAGATACTCGTACAGTGCCAACTTTATCACCTATCCCATGAAACTGGATGAACAATTATCGATCTCGTTCTTTATCTCTTTGTGTCAGTATAAATAAATTATTGTGAAATGTCATATTTTTTACTACCTATGTTACCATTATATTATTCTCTGATTGTTCTGTATCAACAAATATTTGTTAACACATTCCACCATTTTTTTATATAACTTTTTGATTGTGTCCATTTTTGCATTTCACAAAACGTTCTTAACAAACTTGTGCACATATATTTACTCATTTCTTGAACTCCATAATGTATGTGCTTGTTTTAGAGAAATCATTCATAAGTGATACTTTTATTGTCTTCCAGTTTTTTTTCTTTTATTTACTTTAAAACATTTAAATGCAAGCAGTATAATCTCGAGTTTATATGACCACTTAAAAGCTTATTTATATAAATATAGCGTGTTTCTAACATCTGATTGTGTATTTCTATCCTATCCCATTGTTCAACTCACTACCTTTGAATATATGCTTGTTGTCCAGCTCTTATTATGTGGGGATTATGCTGAGACATCTTTAAACATTATTTATTGATAAACTTATACGATGGTACCATTTTTATTTGATTTTTATAAATAGGACTGACAGTGCAAGACAAGAAGACGAAATAACACTTTGTACATATACATATATCTGTATTATTAAACTGTGTTTTATAAAAATAGCTCATTACCTGATGGGTTATTAAATAGTGAAGGTTAAATCTGCTTTTGAGTTCATAGCTCGTCATGTTTACTTTATTCACATCTTTCCTGTCAACTTATTTCTGAACGGTGAAGTGATACCGTTAACAGTCGTATGGTAGATATGTTTAATGAGTCAGTGATAAGGTTTATGATTTCTGGGTTACAAGCTCAAATATAAATGTAGATGAGCGAACCCAAAAAAGAACAATTATATATTGACTGTTTTACACAGGTTTTATGCACAGTCTCAGCTTGACTTTTTTGCAGAGCATTGCTTATTAACTTTGAGAATGACTGTAGGAAACTTGAAATGACTTTGACCTATGAATTAATTAGAACAAAATAAACATTAGCAGTTATTAGTTAGTGTCGGTCATCTGTATAACGTTCAGTAAGTTATTTTGTCAGGCATACGTAAAAGTCACCGGTTATATGATAGTAGAAAAATTTCTGCATATTGACCATATTTCATTGTACTAACTGTTTCTCCATACTTCTACTATACGTGCTTTAAACAAGTATAGTCATTATAATTCCAGTTTCGTGGTATCTTTTTGTTTGTATGAAACCGTCTACAAATAATATCAATTTCCTGAAATTTGCAAACAGTTGTGCCTTTTGAAAGTTACCAGTGTGTTCCCTATCGTGTATGATGTTAACAGCTGTAATTTATTCACAATCATTTCTTCTTTCTAAAAAAGTGAATTTTTATTCGATTATGTTGTAAACAGCATACACCAGCTGTAAATAAAATTAAATCCAAGCAACAAACGGATGAAAAATTTTCACTGTATTTGAATAATCACTGTTTGACATCAAGATATTTTTCTCTTGTTAAACAAAAATTTACCGATTGTTTTCCTGAACATACTAGACAAAGTTATTTATTAGTTTTGTAAATCGATGTCTTACAGGCACCATATTTTTTGCTGACATATATGAGTCATATGACAATGTGGAATATGCTTTTTACAACATAAGCCTTAAAACTTGACGAGGTATGCAGCAAACCATAATAAAGTGTATCTGCATCCATTGAATAACTGGTTGGACCTATGTGGAGTCTGAAAGACCAATTAATTCCTGTACATTCATATTAAAGTTCGACAATGTTTAATCTACATATTTTTTATAAGTAACCAACTCGATCGATTCATTTGACTTCGAACCTAATGTACATCTGGTTATTATGTGATTGATAACGTAAATCAATAACTCTATATCAGCACATCTATGGACAGAAACAGTATAACCCGAGGTAAAAACACATTTTAGACAAAAAGCCTAATTTATTATTATTTCAAGAATTTAATATTTCATTTAGAATTTCTTTTTCATAGAACTACACACCAAAATAACCTAGTGATTATAATTTATTATCGCAAAACTATGGCATAACGAATTTTAAGCTTTGATCAATTAACCTGACAATCTCTTGATAGTTTTTTACTTTCTACGAACTGTTTTTGTTGTCTTAGTTTACAAGAAAACAAAGAGTTCGTTTAAATATACTATGATTTGCAAATAACAATATTCACTTGGTATTGTTTTGCTTGTATCTTCCCATTGAGGTTTAAGACTGCAATTGATCAGTCTGTTATTGGCATATGTGCATACTGTGCGTATGCCTCGATATTACCTTAATTCACAAGCTATTTGTAAGCAATGATGGATAGTGGCTAGCAGTGGAATCCAGGACGCGCGTTTCCAATAGCAAGTGAACTCAAATTCACCCCATTGCACAAGCAAGTGGCTATCAGGACTCAGTAGCTGAGTGGATAACGCGATGGCGTTTGAAGCGAGTGGTACTGGGTTCTAGTCCCAAATAGGACGAAACGCGCGTCCTGGATTCCACTTCTATCCATCATTGCTTACAAATAACAATATTATTTATGCATAGTCACTCTGACATGATAACGTATATAATCAGCTGAGTTAATAATTTGATCTGGTCACAATTAACAATGGTGCTCTTTTTGAATTAATAATTCTATTCATCTTAATATTAATTACGTTATAACCAACTAGTTAGTCATTAATGTTCTATCCAACTAAGACTGCTGATACTTATATTGTGTTCAGGTCTTTTTATCGATAAAAATATTGAAATTCAATGATCATCTCAACTTACCATTTTTTTCTAATAAATGAATGGAACCAAGTTAGTAGGTGCACAGAAATCTCTACTTAAACTCAACTCAATTAACAACAGAGAATAGTTAGTAAAGTACTGAAAAACAATTCAAACAGAGAAATACGAATTCACTTTTTTCTAAATTTTAGTATCAAAATGTACGTTCAAGTAATTGATTTAACCAGCAAGAAAACATTCACAGTAAAAATACATAATTAAAAACTGAAAATAAGCCACTGGAGTTATAACATTAATGATTGAAGTAGCCTATCTATAGGATTATCATATAAATATACACTGTATTATGAAAGAAAAGTGTACAGAGCCGAGAATGTAAGGAAGTCCTCTATTAGTTACAATAAGTTCTCAATTAAGCCCATTTTGATGTTGAGTAAAATTCCCTTACAAAGATCGTTAACACCAGAATAAATCGTAACTGAAAAATTTTCCAGATACACACTTTTAAATACAACAAACATTGTTATTGAATATGATGTTTATAATAATATAGAGAAGAAATATTACACACACATCATAAAGTAACAGAACTATGGAAAATAGTGCATAAAACATTAAGACTTCTTGCTTAATTCTTCTCCACGTGCACAAACTTTCTGCACTGCATCCATAAGTGTAGCTCGTAGATTACCTTTCTCTAAAGCATAAACACCTTGAATTGTTGTCCCGCCAGGTGAGCAAACTTCATTCTGTACAAACACACATATATTTTAATAAAGAAAAACTATAATATAATCATCCCGACACAACTAAAAATAGTTAGCAAAATTTTGAAAACGAAACTTGTCATTAACCACTGTAAACTACTTTTCATCAGTCAGTAGAGGGCACACACACTCCTTCATTTTTCCGAAATCCCTAACGCTTTCTTGATTTACGTTAAACTTCAGTAATGTTATAAATGTGTGAGTGACTGACACATTCTAATATCATACATCTAAGATTATTTCTTCTTGAAATAACTAAAAGGATGGAATTGATATTGATAGTTTTATCGATTATGGAACGTGACTGTAAAGATTGGAAACACAACTTCTTGATCCCGATTATAATTGAAGTTTCTCTAGTGCTAAATTTTTGCAATATGTCATAATTTTTCTGAACGCTACTGCTTTTAATGGAGATCCATGGAAGTATAAACGTATTCCTCATTGTGAACAATTAAATCTAACTTTCTCCGGTTACCCGTAAGGAACAACCATGCTGTTAAGTCCTAGGACATATAGTAGTTTAGCTGGGATATTTTTCTCATTTTTTGATGCTTAACAATAAAATGACAACATACAGTTTGATTCTTATCAATTTGGAATAAACCTATAAAAATTAATCATAGCAGTAATATAAACAGATTCAATAATACACTACATGAAATGCAAATCATAAAATAATACATTTCAATGAAAATATTTTACAACATTAGTTTAAAACTGGTGGTCGGTAGAAAATTGAATTTTCATTTAAATGAATAAGCCTATTAATCATAACTATTAGATTTATTCATTGAAATGTATATAAAATGCAGTTAATTAAAAAATATAATCGTTACGTCTTTGGTGTATTCAAGGTGTAGAAGTTATGAAAGCCAAATTGAAATCTAACACTAAAACCATCCCCCCCCCAAATGTCAACCAATGATCTATCCAGTTCAAATTATATGATGATTGAAAGTACCCATTCTGAATGAGTTATTTATCGATCTCACTGATATCGTTTTGACTAGTTTACATTATATTTTAAATGTTACGTTACTTTACTATTATTAATTTCTGTTTTGTAATCATGTCAAATGATTTCTAGTAGATTAATTATTGTTTGGTATAAACTTTGTTATATATGACAACAAAACTTTCTTATTTAATGTCATAATGGGTGTATTCCGTTTATTAAAAAATTCCAAGGACCCTTCGACAGTAAAGGAACTTTATGAGTTTCTGCGTTTTTCTGTCAAACTTGCGGAAGTGAATGCGAAGATTACCTTTCTTAACGATTGCGTTAAAATGCACAAATATCCTAAATACTACTGGAAAATTCTTCGAAGAAACCATATTTATCCAAACTCGAAATCTCTTAAACGCCATGCACAAAATGTTATTGACTCTATTCGTCCTCGCATTCCGTTATTGGAATTCAATATTTCACAAAGATCTCCTGTATTATATGAATTATCACCTAACGAACACAATCTTTTCACCGATTATGTTACCACAGTTATCAACAAACGCACAAAAAACTTAATATCAGATCTCACTAAAAGTTTAAAACCTACAGAAACACAGCACAAGTTTCCTAACAACCCTGAGAGATATGTGTTTAATCATTCTTCAATATCGTTGACAAATGTACAATTAGAAGCCTTATCTTTGGGGATAAAATTCTGCGACATAAATGAAAAAGTTAACAAAATCAACACACATGTTCAATTCGAAAACTTAATCAAACAAACAAATGGTCTTAATCCAATCTCTGATCAAGAATTCCAACGTTTCAAATCTACTCTTCTTGACAGCTGTAACCAATATATTAGCACAAAAGTAACAGGCAAAAGTCTACTAACAAGAGAACATAGAAATCAGATTAAACTACTTAGAAATAATAAAGACTTGATCATAACACGTCCAGATAAAGGTGCTGGTTTAGTGCTGCTAGATCGCAAGGATTATGTTGAAAAAATGGCAACGTTGTTATCAGATGACACCAAATTCTCAAAACCCAACAATGAGAAAAACAAGACTGAAATTATAGAAAAGCAACTAATTGACGTCCTTAAGAAAATGAAAAAAGAGCAGTTAATCAACGAACAGGTATTTGAGCACATAAGACCAACAGCATCGATAATACCGCGATTATACGGTTTGCCAAAAATACACAAATCTGGCCTACCTCTTAGACCGATTCTCGATATGTCTGGATCCCCTTACCACCCTATAGCAAAGTGGTTGGCGAATCTCTTAGAACCCGTTAGAAAACTCATTTGTAAACATTCTGTACGCGATACTTTTGAATTTATCGAGCACATAAAAGAAGTGAATGTAAGTGGCAAAATTATGCTATCTCTGGATGTGGAATCATTATTCACTAATGTCCCACTTACAGAAACCATTAATTTTATCTGCAAGTACATAAACAATACTGAGATAAACATTGGGATACCTGAGGTTTATTTGAAGGAATTATTACTACGTTGTACTTGCAATGTACAGTTCACATTCAACGACGTAATTTATAGACAGAAGGATGGTATAGCAATGGGATCCCCACTTGGTCCATTACTGGCAGATTGCTTCATGGCCAGTTTAGAAAACAACCAACTTAAAAGAATTATAGAGAACCTCCACTTATATAAAAGGTATATGGATGATATCTTTATCATTTGTGATAACAAATGTAACTTAAGTGATCTCCTAAATACATTTAATAATTGTCACCCATCAATAAAATTCACAATTGAAGTTGAAAACAAACAAAATATTCACTTCCTTGATGTAGATATAACAAGGAAACAAGATGGTACTTTAAAAAGATCTATCTACAGGAAACCCATATGGAATGGCCAACTATCAAATTTCCACAGTTGGGTTCCCATCAGCCGAAAAAGAAACTTAATAATCACTCTCGCCACAAGAATACGAAGAATCTGTAGCCCTGAGGTCGTAGAGGAAGAATTGAGTTTTTTAAAAGAGATACTTATCAAAAACGGATATCCTTCTATATTCATTGATAAGAACATGAAACCGAAAATACCAAGACCACAAACCACTGCAGTAGAAAAGAAAATTTTATACATGAACATCGACTTCAAAGGCGATAGAGCCGCACATATCTTAAAGAGGAGAATTTCAGATTCTTTAAAAAGAACATTTTTCGCAGCAACATTGCGAATATTATTCTCAAGCCGATCACTGTTCGCCAATAATCTGAAAGATAAATTATCGCATCTGACCAATTCAATGTGCATTTACCAATTTACCTGCTCTTGTGGAGCTAGGTATATAGGTCGTTCGATGCGTACTTTATCCAAAAGAATTCAAGAACATTGTCCGGCGTGGCTAAGAAGAGGAGGCAGCGGTTCAATAAGAAGTTCTATAATCGAACACCTTGTGAACACAGGTCACTCAATCAAGACAGACTCTGCGTTCAAAGTCATCTACAAGGTAAGTAGAAACCTTCCTAAGACAATTAGACTACATCTCCTTTGCATTGCCGAGGCAATAGCCATACATTTTGAAAAACCAGAATTATGTATACAAAAGAGACTGGTACAACCTCTTCTTTTACCGTGGTCTTAATGTATTAAAATTTTTTCTCTTTTTTCTCTTTCTCATTACTCTTGTTCTTTTACAGCCACCTGCTTCACCTCCCATCTTCCCTTCAAATCTTGTACCCCCAACCGGTTTGTTTTTATTTCAACGATCATTCCGATTACATTTCATCTCTGTTTCAACATTTTATGTTATTTTATCATGCTGAGCTACTCTTACCCGATGACTATCTAAGCCATTATCTATCAAACTTTCCTTGTTTTTAAAAATTTTTCTAATACCTTTGTTTATTTAACCTCACTGTCACCATGTATATCATAAGTTTATTATCAGTATTATTATCACCCTGTATAAATAAGTATATATATTTGCGATTGTACAGCTTTGAAAACTGTATTTATTCGGTTGTGATTACGTGATACAGTTTTTCATTTTTTTTTAATAAAAAAAAGATCAAGTCATTTTTAAAGCAAATTTTCACCACATTTATAGTATAAAGAAAGATCTTTTTCTGAAGATACTAGTATTGATAAATTGAGTCATTAAAGAAAAATGTATCCTTATTACATTGTTTTGATATACACTAATCATTATTATATGATGCTAGGTCAATACATATGCTACCATTGTAATTTAATTGACTAAGAACGTTCACTGTTTCAACTTGTACATATGTATATATGTATATAATAAATGTAACAACAGTTTACTTTTAATTCAGTTGTACTTTTGCCAGTTTTTTGCATCATTACAGCTGAGCCTAATATAGTATTGACAATTAGTTTCTGAGCGATTGGGCGTGGTAAACCTAATAGAACACCAGCATCTGTAATTGCTTCAGTGATCATATAAATCTATAATAAGAAATGATGGAGAAAAAAGTAGACAAACAAATGAGAATTATACATTTCAAAATGCAATTATAATTTTAGATAATCAATGAAAAAAGGAATAGGATAATTATTAAGTCAGTCAGTCAGTAACAATGTAGAACTTCGTACGTACATCAGTTCGAGTTGCCACACCACATTACAACAGAGATGCAGTTGTCCATTCAAATCCCGTAGTGGTAGAGGTGGCAAGAGTATATGCAGTAATCGGAAAGATTAGGGTTTGAATATGTTATTCAAGGAGTATAATACAGTGAAATAAATTTGGAAAGAGGAAAAAAGGCACATGAAGAATTCACAAGATTATAATTTTGGAGAACACAAAGAGTGGATGCACCTGCGCCATTGCAAACGATTTTGAGCCATGTCATTCAAGGTCTCTAACCATCGGTTGCTATCATCTCGTGGTCCCCAACCAGGTAGTCTACACCTACCAACATGACTCAGTCCACTTGTCAGTGACTTCATGGAATTGTGCCATGTTTTGGTTTGGCCGCCTCTAGCTTTCTTCCAACCTACTCCTATACCACTGAACATCGCACGTCGAGGCAGTCGGTCGTTGGGCGTACGTAACACGTGTCCCAGCCATCTCAACTGATGAAGTTTCACTACGTCATCAATTGATTGATTAAGTGATAATGATTTGAATTTAATAACAATGATAACACGTACATATTCTTGTTCTGTGAAAATTATTTTATTTGTTACAGATTGAACTTAGTTAGGGTACATGGGAAAAGTGAGAAGCACTACTGGACAGATATTTCGTCCTAGTATAGGATTCCTCAATAAGGCATACCCATAATCCTGCGACGGATCAAGGTAATACAAGGAAAATTTAGTCATCTAATCGCTCTCAACAGCATTAGAAACTGAGGACTATTAGAGACGAAGACTATACAATATATATCACTATTCGATAACTACATTACGTAATATCATAAAGAATCTAAAAGTTATCTACTTTTAGAATAGAAACTACTTCATCAATGATTTTTAGAATCTGTAATGAATGGCTTTTCTTCAAGAATAAATTAACTCATGATATAGTGAAATTAGTTAGCATATAACAACTTTTATGGATATATTTCAGACAATTATTCTGGAGAAAAACGCACACACACATGTAATACTATGTGAAAAAAAGTAATCTAAAACGAATTTCAATTACAAAGAAAAAGTAACATTTATATAAACAATGATTTGGTATTTTATCATTAAAGTAATTGAAATGTTATTAGGCCACAAAATTATGCATATTTATGAATCATAAATTATGTTATTGTATTTAGAAAATGAATGCAATGTGATTAAGGATGACACGAATCAAGAACATGTGACAATTGTGAAGATGGTGAATATAAAAGTTACTTGAATTAGCAATATAGACAAAATAACAATTTCAGGAGGAAAAAATAGATGGAGATAATCATGAATAAATGTCTTGTAATGAATATATGATAATCAATAAATTGCATAATAGTACACGCGGTTGTAGAGTTGATACTTTGTATGTGTTTGTTTTTCTCATGCAGTAAATAGAAACAGTAAGAAGGAGAGAAAGAACATTCAAGATAAGTATCTAACATAAAAGAGTAGAAAGTCAAATGTATATTTATAGTTTTTTTAATCCGTTTTTAATAAGTGTACTGAAAAAGTACTATGATTATATCATGTTTATTAAATTTGTTTAATATAAACATTGGATACCACTAGTTGAATTAGTTTTTATAACAAGTATAATACTTGCTAATTGAAAAAGAAACTAAATCGTGAACAATTTATCCTAAGAATTTTAAAACAATTAGTCCCTTTGATAAATCTCGATAATGCAATGAGAAGACGAAGTTTATTAGAATTATGAGATATATTTGCACAATACATTTCGAATAAACTGATCATACATATACTTGTTAAGACATTTTTATATGAAAATTAAAGGTCAACTAGACAGGTTAAAGGTAAGCCATAACAAAGAAAAATAAATAAATAAAGTACACAAAATAACTAGATAACCACTCTGGATAATAAATCAGTATTACCAGGGTAGGTTAAGGGTAAGGACAAATTGTTTTTGAACGTATAAATGGGGTTTCAATTTCTGTATAGCTAAGGTTTCAATAAACCTTAGTCTACTAAGAATTATAGTTTAAATTATGTAATCATTTATCTAGATCTATTCTGTCCATTACCTAATAATAAGATAATTTTATCGGAATACAATAATTTTGAAAAACGTTAACAAACAGGAAATAATTACTTTTCGATAAGTAGAATTTTATAAATCAACTCAGAATTAAACTAATAGAATCACTCAAGTTATTTAAAAAGTTGATAGAATTTTGTAGGACTTAGAAATGCGAACAATTTGAATACAGAAGGGGTTTTGTGGAGATTTTAGTCATTTCAACAGTTGAAATCATGAGCCAATTGAAGCTAGACCACCATGGTAAACCTGGATGGCCGTTTCGTCCGAGTATGGGACTTCTCAGCTACTCACTAGTGACTGACTTCAAGAGGCATTTCCTGGAGTTCTAGTGAGAAGCCGTTACCAGTGGAGTTCAACCAGGTCTGTTGTGAGATATCAGCTCACCGAAGACAATGGTGGACGGTGGCGCAATTTCGTGGATTGGATGAAGTTAGACATTAACACCGTTGGATGCCGGTTCAGTGTTCTGATGGTTAAGCCTGATAGGTCCTGGGTTCGAATCTCGCGGAGTGCGGGATCGTGGATGAGCACTGCTGAGGAGTCCCATACTAGGACGAAACGGCCATCTAGTGCTTCCAGGTTTTCCATGGTGGTCTAGCTTCAATTGACTAATGATTTCAACTAGTGAAATTTGAATACAGTTAAGTAATTAAGATTGCGCATGTGATTGATAATGCCAACCATACCGATGGGGAAAACATAAATTTACTGCCAGTACATGTATATCTATTTGTAAGAATCTTTTTTCAAGTATATAAATAAACCATCATACGTTCAATTTTGTGTTAGAATTGACATTTATTTAATTATTTACAAGGTTATCAACTAACCTATTCAGTTTTAAATAATTCTTTCTGTCTACAATATAAAAAAAGTCCCGTAGGAATTCTTTATCATACATTGTCTCCAATAAAATCACATTGTAGACAATAAGAAACATCACTAAATAATTTCTACAAATCTACACTGTTCCTAGTGTAAAGAGACTGTTATTTTATATGAATTTTTGCAAAGTTTATACAAAATACAAAACATTAAGTAACATTATACTTTTCAATTACTACTTAATAACCATTGAAACAAAGCAATAATTTGAATAGTAAACATAATTATGTATCCTTGAGATGTTTTGAGGCGGGACACGTGAAACGATGCCTCAAGCACCATAGTATAATAACTAGTGATTTTAGTGATACAGTCATTTTTACAATTCAATATTAGTCGGTAAAAGAAACAAAATATCATGTTTTATTCTACTCTTTTTACATACTTTCATTAGAGTTATATCAGCCTCCGCTGTATGAATCGTTTATTTCAGACATACGTAGTTTATATACAAGCGAACTAGACCACACCACATCAAAAAATGCAAAATATTTGTACAAGATCAAGTCAAAAGTGCCTGTAAGTATGGGAGACTGCAGTTAATAAATTGGGGACAAATTAAGAGTGGCAAATCGCATAACCGTAGCCGATAGATCAAATAAAAGCTAATAATAAAAGGAGTACGAATATATATATGTATATAATCTGGTTACTTAATAGTTATCGAATAAGAATATATGCAATAATAGTCCATAAATAATTCCTAGCAGTTATCATCCTTTTATTCTTCATACAGATATAACAAGTCCTATAGAAGAAAATCAGCGCCTCAATGATACCGTCTATGACTGTTTGATAAAAACACTATCTTCAATCGCTATATGATTTCTATAAAAATATTGTAGGACGAAAATAAGTTTAAATAAAACAATATTTAACATAGTATAGACACTGAAAGAAGAAAGGCAAATTACGCTTTGCATAAATTATATTATGAACTCAAGCGCGATTAGCATGGTGTTTTTTTAAATGTCATTTGGACAAAATATCACAAATGTTAACCGATTTTTATGAATACAATCAACCCTAACCAGTGGGAGAAAAAGTTTCAAATAAAATTAGGGTTTATAGATTTGATTACGAATAATAATTACATGAGTTTCCAGGCGGCTTTAGGATATTTACCAATAAAATTACAGACTTTGAATAAGTTATTGGAAGCACATAAAAAGAGCGACATATTAAATTCAAGTCATTTACAAATCACTTAATCCGTATTATACATTTAACAGATTTATTTTTAGAGATCTAGTTATGCTTTAAACGAGTTTGAAAATGTAAAATTTAGACGAATTGAAAACATTTTTTTCGTAGTTTAAAATTGAACGTGCAATCGCTCGAAGATAATTTTGCAGCCTACTTCATACAATACTAAAGACTTATTACGTAAAACAAAATGCCGATCCCGTTACTCGATTATCATATGGCTCATCACCCCACCCAAATTATTTTAGTGATTACAATGAATTAACGAAATACTACACAATCTTGTGACTTTCTCTCTCTCTCTCTCTTCATATATGGTACCACTTTTACAGCCTCAATAAGACTAAAAGAAATAATAGTCACCTTATTTACACAATAGACTTGTGCTTAAATATTGATGACTTAAAAAAATATACGACAAAATAAACCTGCATATATTCATGAACCTAGAGGAGGTGAAGTGGATACATAAAATCAGAACGAGTATTCTCACTCACTGATTGTCTGTTGCACTTAAGGTGAATGATGTGGGATTTAAAATCAGGATCTCTTTGTTAATGATTTGGTGCTTAGGTAATTTCAAATGGAACAATTCTAAAAAGACAGCAGTGAACTGTTAAGGAGTCGTGCTTAACTGTTAATTAACTTTGAGTAAATGTCTAGT